TTGGAGAGGGACATGATGTTTGGAAGGGTGCAAGGTCGGTAAAGGAGAAGAAGACCATTGATCAGGTGGATTGACACAGTGACTGCAGCAGTAGGCTCTAGTGTGTCAGAAATGGTGAGGATGGCACAGGATATAGAACAGGGTTCAAATTTGTTATTCGTAGGGTTGCTATGGGCCATGCTCGACTTGATGGTGCTGTACAACACAACCTAGATCACATGGGAAGAGATTGACCATCTTTCTCACTCAGAACAGCTGGTAGATTCAAACGACCTGTCTTTAGGTTGATGGCACTATGCCTTACCCACTTGGCAACCAGAGCTCTCTTATTATTATTATGGATAGACTGACAAAAGAACAAATTGGTGTTGGAAGAAGAATGACTAGGATACTACTTAGACATGAGGACAGTGAGACTTGGTCTCATGTGCTTTGGACATTTTCTCAGGAGGACACAGCACCTGGAGAAGCACATCATGCTTGGTAATGTGGAGGGTCAGTGAGCAAGAGGAAGGCCCTCAACAAGGTAGATTGGCAGAGGGGCTGCCGCAGTGAGCCTGAGCACAGCAGAGGCAGTGCAGGATTGGGCAGTGTGCCTTCCTCCTGTACCTTGGTTCTCTGAGTAAGAACCACGCAACAGAATGTAACAACAACAGCCAGTCTATGAGGGAGCAGACCACCAGGTGTGCTGTAGAGCCAATGGCCAACTCAGATACCAAGGGCTTAACTAATGATTGTGCCACTTGAAAACCTGTTACCGTCCAGTCGGTTCTACCTCTCAGCGGCCGTCAAGACCGTGTGCACGGCCCCACAGGGTTTCCAAGGCTGGAAATCTTTACCGAGCTGGCTGCCACATCTTTCTCTTCTGTAGCAGTGGGTTTGAACCACTGATAGAGTTCTGGTAGCAGCCAAGTGTCTAACCACTGTGCCACCAGGATTCCTTAATGGCAGTTGTTTTGTTAGATGTGTCAAGTCGACTACAATGCATAGTGAGCCTCTGACCAACAGACCTGAACCTTGCCCGGTCTCACATCATCCTTGTGCTCAATCCATTGTTGCATCACTGTGCCAATCCTCTTTAAGGGTCTCTCTCTATTTCTGTGCTCTTTCAACTTTTCTAACACGACATCTTTTTCCAGGAACAACAAACCCAAAGTATGTGATACAAAATCTCATCATCCTTGCTTCTAAGGGGCACCCTGGTTGCACTTCCTCTAAGATAGACCTGTTTGTTCTTTTGGCAATCCATGGGATATTCATATTCAGTACTCTCCAATACCACAGTTCAAATGCATAGATTTTTTTGTTGTTGTTGTTTGTTGTTTTGTTTTTCTTACTCATTGACTGACTTTTCAGGTAGCTAGGAAACAACTGACAATACCATGGCTTGGATCAGGCACACCTTAATCTTTAAACTGACATCCTTGCTCGTTATTAGCACTTTGAAGCAGTCTGTGACAGCACATTTTCCCACTGCCAAAAGTATTTTGATATCATGACTGCTGCTAGCATGGGTGCTGATTTTGGATCCAAGTAAAATGAACTCATTGACAACTTCAGTCTTTCAAATTATTTATAACCCAAAACTCATTGATGTCAATTCATAATCAACTCATAGCTGACCCTCCTTTGGGTTTCTGAGGCTTTGAACTGTGAGCCTGTAGATTGCATGGGAGAATGCCCTTCTTTCTCCTGTGGCTCCTCTGGTGGGTTCGAACTGCCAGAGTAGCCCTCAGTTGTCCTTTGTCCTGGATCCATACTGTCTTTTTTACCGTACTCAGTATTCTCTGACACTGTTGCTACCACAGCAGGCTTGAGCATGACAGACACAGTGAGGGTGGTACAGACTAGGACAAGGTTCATATCTGTTGTTTATAAGGTCCCTACGAATCATAGCAGAAACACCTAACAGCAGCCTGTGCTGCTCTGCCTCTCCTGAGTCCCACCTGGACCGTCACCCACTGCTCACAAGCTTCCTGATCCCCTTTGGTGATTAAAATGTGTCCTGCCCTTTGTCCTTCTTCCCTAAAGGCTGCTGATAACCACTAATCGGATAAACAAAGCCAGGTTTATGGTAATCCCTCGCTGGTAACAGATTTCATTTTAAAGATACTTTCAGGAGATAATTCCTTAACTGTTCTGAAGGAAGGCAAAGCCAAAGCTGAGATAAATGAAACACCACCCTCCCTGTGAGGAAGGGCTTGGATGTGGAAAACCCCAGGAGTCTGGATAACCCTGAAAGTCCCAGCTCAAACCTTACCAGCCATGCGCCCGTTCCTTTTTTGCCTCTTGCCATATGTAGCCACCCATCCGCACCTTTAACCCCTGCCCAAGAGTACAAGCTTTGTCTAGTTTTAGTAAAGAAAGCAAACGTATGACTTTTTTGATACCAGGGAACTCTGGTGGTGTAGTCTGTAGGGAGTCTGCTGACCCAAAGGCAGTGTTTCTCGGGCAGTCTCCTCCTGTGCTATTTACAGCCTTGGAAACCCACTGGAGGGTCAGCTGAGTTAGATCTAACTCCAAGGCAGTGAGAAAGATTTTACACCAGTCTGTTCTGGCATATTCTAATGCTGGTGGCATTATGTGGGTCACTGACCACCAGTGTACATGATGTGCCCAGTTCAATGGCATTGCCACTGTAGTGATGGACACCAGCTTTGGCCAACATGGTTTAGCACTCTATTTCCAGTTTCTTCAAGGATAGGCAGTCGTTGTTGGTGAGAATGGCCAGTTTTACTCTGCCTTGGGTGATGTCTTCAGTGTGTTTGTATGAAGGTGTGTGCTTTCAAGCCCAGTGACGCTTTTGTCTTCTCTGTCCCACCGTCTTTGTGTCTTAGGTATGCCTAACTAAGAGCAGCCCCCAGGTACCTGGGCATAGAGAGAAGCTAAATTGCAGCATCTAGCGCAGTGAATAGAGTACTTGAGGATAATTCTTGAGTATTTTCTAGAATCTTATTCTTGAGTGATTTCCCTCTCAAGGAATGAAGACGTGTCATATATACACCTAGATGTACACACTCAGGTTACTGAAATGTCTTTAAAGTCTCTTTCTTCTCCCAGGTGATCTCCTTCGCCATGGGCTGACCTTACTCACATGTCTTATCAGTTGTCAAATTAAGAACATAGTTTCTATGTCCTTTTTAACTTCAAAGTGTTCTCAGTTTAGGGCTTTTTAAAAACCATTTTTAAAATGTAAAAAAGGTTCTAGTCCTTGGGAAATGACATCATGTTGAGAGAAGTGGAAGGTCAGAGAAGAAGATCCTCAACACAATGGATTGATATGGTGACTGTGGCAGTGGGCTCGAGCATGTCTCGGATTGTGGGGATGGTGTAGGATGGGGCAAGGGTTAGATCTGTTGTTCATAGAATTGCTGTGAGTCATAGAGAGAGCTCTGTTATCCTAGTGGATAGAAAGTTATGCTACCAAGCCAAAGGTGGGTGATTTTAATCTGCAGCCCTCAGGCCTGGTTTTAATTGCTTTTTTCAATTTTTTTTTAAATTCTGCAAATTTATTTGGATGTATTTTCCTTCCTCCAATTGTTTTAATTATTTTTTAATTTTTTTAGTTTATTTACACAATTCAAATATATTGTTTTCAAGAACAAATTCTTTCATTTTCCCCTCACCCCCTCTCATCAAATTGTACAACCTCATGATTATTTTGATCAGACATTCTCCTAAGTGATGTAGCATTGGTCTGTCAATTTGCTGTGCAGAGGTAACTTGTGGTTGCTGTAGTGCTAAACACCGTGAGAATGAAGTGTCAAATTCAGTAATGGTTACCCATGGTGGACAGTGTTTGGAGGAGCTTTCTTATTAAAATAGGCTTGAAAGCAGGAATGAAGTAGCTTGTCTCCAGAAACTCCGTGACCTTAGAGAAAAGATCAAAGTTAGACAACTGTTCTTGTCTTTTGTTCATAGGGTTACAATGAGTTGTCTACGACTAGACAGCACTTAACAACCACAACAGCAACAAAATGTAGCCCATTAAGAAGTGATAGTTAAACTTTTGTCCTTACAGTGACATCCTTATGGTTTGAAGTGACTACCACAGTGAGCTTAAGTACAGCAGAGATTGTGAAGATGGCTAAGAGTCAACCAGGGTTTTGTTCTTTTGTACACAAGGTTTCTTTGATGTGGCAGCATCTAACTACAGCATAGACAAGTGCATAAAACATGTGTGTACAATTTAGCACATAGTTAGAAACCTGCCAACGTGGTGAAGGAAGGCAAAGACTGCTTTATTTAAAGTGGTCTACCCATGTGGGAGCTCTGGTGACCTAGTGGCTGAGGAGAAAGAATGCTGTCAACCCAGAGGTGGTGGTTCAAATCCACCAGCTGCTTCAAGGGAGAAAGATATACAGTCTCCTCCCGCTGAGATTTACAGCCTCAGAAACCCTCTAGAGGGTCATTATGAGCTGGATCCAGATAGCACCAAAAGGGGTGTGGATATTTTTAGTTACATCTGGCGTCTAGTGAGAAGAGCTGCTAAACATCCACGGGTCAGCCTCCCTCAGCAAAGAAATATTCAGCCTGTCATGAAAATAAAGCTGAAGTGAAAAGCCCAGTATAAACCATCATGCAGGAAACAAATGCCTTCAGTCAGAGCTGCACTTTTAGAAAAAGATTTGGATGTTTAAATAGATTCACTTCAAAATTTGGTAGTTTTATGTAACACATTGTCAATAATGTTATCCCACTCAACTAATTTGTTCTCTGAAAGAATAAAAAAAGAGGGTGTGGTGGCTTAGCCAGAATTCTCTCAAGTTAATCGACTTTGCTAATAGCATCAATCAGTTTGTAGTCTTTTGTTGCCACCAAGGGTTTTTAATGTCAATTTGCAGCAGTCTTAGGCATCAAACTCTGTACAAGTTAAAAGAAGCCAGACGGGTGTCATTGTTCTATTAATTAAATTGCAAAACAACTTAAACGCTGTACTCTTTCCAACAACTTATCCCAGCCCCTTTGCACTTAATAACCCTGTCTTTAATTCATCACAGGACTTAGTCATTCGTCTTGTCTTTATTCTTGGCAACCTGACAGCGAAAAATAACCAGGCTCGTGAGCAGCTTTTCAAGGAGAAAGGGAGCATCCAAACTCTGTTGTCACTATTCCAAACATTCCTTGAACTCGATCTGCATTCGGAGAAGCCTGCTGGTGATGGAGAGGCGCAGGCCAAGCCTCCGAGGCAGCCGTCAGGTGTGGAGGACGTGCTCATCAAGCTGACCCGCGTGCTCGCCAACCTCGCCATCCACGTGCGCGTTGGCCCTGCCCTGGCTGCCAGGCCGCAGGTGGTGGGCCTGCTGCTCAGAACACTGGGTAAGGGCCTTGGCTGGACTGTCCACAGCTGACTGAACACATTACCGCAGGGCACAGCACGCAGTGGCCCCGGACAGCGCTAAGGGCCTGGGGTGGTGAAGGTGCTCCTAGCACCACTGCTCACTCAAATCGTCTGGTGGGTGCAATGACTAGTCACTTGGTGATTCAAATCCAACCAGCAGCCCTGTGTGAGAGAGAAAGAATTGGCTTCTCTAACAGCTCACTGTGGTAGAGTTATAACTGACCCTCCAGCAGGTTTATAGAAGCTGTGTCACACAGGACATCACCCATCTTTCTCCTGTGGAGCCACTGTGGTTTTGAACTACCAGAGAGTGTCAGCCTTTGGGTTAGCGGCACAACTTCCTATGAGCAACACCTCCAGCGCTCCACAATGATTACTATGTTGATATCTGCTCCCTTCCAGTTCAGTCCCTTCTTGTCCCGTGGTCGAGTTTCTAAGACTGTAAATCTTTACGAGCGCAGACTGCCTCATCTCTCTTCCAAGGAGAAGTGCGGTATGTTCACGTTGCTGGTGTTTTCATTAGCAGCTGATAATGAACTAAGCCACCAACCAGGAGGGGACTAATTTTAAGATTATTGTTGTGTGCCGTCGAGTCGGAACCAACCTATGGCTGAACCTCCTGTGGGTTTTCAGAGGCAGTAAATCGAACAGAAGGAGATTGCTCCTCCTTCTCCTGCAGAGTAGCGCGTGGTGCTAACCTCCTGCTCTCGGGATTGCAGCGCAGCTACTTACCATTAGAACAGATGAGCTGGTTCTGCTGCATCCGATAGGGTCACAAGGGTCAGAATCAACTCCACAGCACCTAACAACGAGGCTGCTTGGCTCTGTGAAGGGAGCACGCCTCTCAGTTCTACACTGCTTCAAAAGCAACAAACATAGAGAAAGAAAAGAATTGAAGTCTTTATTTAAAAAAAAAACACTGAATACACTTTATAAGAAATAATTTCATGGTAGATAAATTATATTGCATTTTTAAGTAAAAATTAATATCAACCAAGCTACCAAAACTTAGCAAAACTAACCCCAAAGGGTTTAAAATCCATATTTTTTTCCTAGATCAGTTCATAATTCAGATATTTGTTCTTCAGATTTTTGCAGGCACTCTAACTACAGAGCCAGCCAGCCAGCCAGTTAGGCCTTATCTCTGTGCACATTTGAGGCCTTTTTCACTTCTGAGGCCTTGTTCACATTTGAGGCGCAGGTACCTCTGCCTAGTTTATGAAGAGAACAACTGCATCTCAGGGTTAACTGAGCCACTTTACCAGCTTCCATATTAGACCTCACTGTAGAAGCAGAATGCTACCAATACTAAGACACATGCCTTAAATCCACCAGCTGCTCCACAGGAGAAAGATGGAGAGACTCCTCCCCTAAGATTCACAGTCTCTCAAAACCTGCTGGAGGGGCAGCTGTGGGTCACTTTTGACTCGATGATACACAACAACCACAACATTGACAATGAGGAGTTTGGGCAATGTGTGTATAATCTTTTACTGTTTCACTTTTAAGAGTCATTGTTCAGTCATACTCTTAGTCCTGGTTGTTGTTGTTGTTATGTGTCATCAAGTCACCTGCGGCTTGCAGCAACCTTAAGTACAACAGCCCTAAACCCTGCTCTATCCTGTGCCAATCTTATTATCTCTGACACACCTACCCTCCATTACCCCAGTCACTGAATCAATCCTCCTCATCGAGGATCTTTCTCTCCTGCACTGTCCCACCACCCTCCCAAGCATTAAGTCCTCCACCAAGGACTGATTCCACCTTGAAGCATGTCCAAAGTATGTCACATTAAGCTTCAGAATCCTTGCTCCCAAGGAGCAGCCTGGTCTCACCCTCTCTAGGATGAACCTGTTTGTTCTCCTAGCATAGTCCTTACTATATAGTAAAAGGAGCATTAGTACCATAAGAGTTAGATGGATTTGAACCAACCCCACCCCAGCTGCTTCATAGAGGAAAAAGCACTGGTGACTTTCCTCCATAAAGATTCCAGCTTAGAAAATTCCGTGGGGCAGTTCAGCCACACAAGGTGCCAAAGCAAAACCAACTGAGTGCTGCCACCACCAATACTGTATAGTAGAGTCCTACCCTCCCACAGTATGGGCTTCAGTGTAAAGGAAAATATGGCGGTAACTAAAGGTCGGTAGTTCAAGCCCATTAACCACTCCTTAGGGGGATAAATGTGGCAATCTGCTTCCATAAGGATTACAGCTTTGAGTATCTTACAGGACAGTGCTTCTTTGTCCTGTAGAGTCACTATGAGCTCTATCAAATCAATGCCTGTGGGTTTCTCTGCTTCCAAGGAATTTCAGTGACAGATTAAAAACTACACAGTGTATGAAAGTGACAGAAACAAAGCGTGCACAGTATATGAGGGTTAAGCGTATGAAGCCACTGAACCTATTTTCTGGTGAGAGGAGGTGTGCGGGTGTGTGTGTGTGTGTGTGTGTGTACAATGCTTTATGGCTGAAAAAGCACCATTATTCTTTTCACCACTTATCAGGTCACGAAGATACTAAGTATTGGAGTCACAAAGCCCCAGACTCCTGCTCCTTGGTTCTCCACATTGCTCATCTCAAGAAGGATTCCTAAATTCTGACCAAGATTTGGGCCTGTGACTTGTCACTTCCACGTGGTAACTCAGAAGCCTGCACATTTGGTCTTGGATTCTAGGTTGCTCATTGCATATGTAATTATCTGCTAGCATCCATATCTGGTGGGATGGTGGACACTTGTGTTGACAGCATAATATCCTAGACAATATCCTTCTGTTTTTCTTAGGCAGATACAGAATGCACCCTCAGCATCCCCTAGGAAGGAGTCTCTTGTCCAGACAGCAGTGTGTGATTGCCTGGCCATCCTCTCTTATGCTGTGGTCTCTTTACATCTTTGTGGCCCCGTTCCCCTAGTTCTGTCCAGGTCTTGGCTGATCCTGTCCTTGACTTCTCACTCCAGGTTTCCCTCCTCATTTTTCCCTCCACATTGTGCCCAATTACACTCCACACTGCATGACCCCTTCTTGTCTGAAAGCCTTCTGTGAAGTTCTTTGTCCCATATCATCAGGTCTTTTACTTACAGTCCATCTTTCCAAAACTACACTCACTAGAAGTAACTTTTCTCTTCCTGTTACTGCTTTGATTATACCTGTTTCATGGTCACGTAACAACGTTAAAGGGTGATTGTTGTAGTTTGATGCTGTCAAGTCAATTATGGCTCACAGCAACTCTAAGAACAACAGGTCTGTCCTATCCTGTGCCATTCTCACTATGTCTGACACACTCAAGCCCATTGCTGCAGTCACTGTGTCACTCCACTTGGTGGAGGATCTTCCTCTCCTTTGCTTCCTTCTATCTTTCCAACCATCATATCCCTACCCAAGGAATAAACTCTTCTAGCAATATGCTGAAAATAAATGAGGCAAAGCTTCATCATCTTTGCCTCTAAGGAGCACTCTGGCTGCACCTTCTCCAACACATACCTGTTAGTTCTTTTGATAATCCATGGATATTCAGCACTCTTCTCCAAAACCATAGTTCAAAGGCATCAGTTCTTCTTCTGGCATCCATAACATTGTCCACCTCTCAGATCCATAGGGAGTGACCGAGAAGACATGGCCTGAATCAGACGCATGTTAGTCCTCAAACTGGCATGATTACTCTTCAATAATTTGGAGAACGCCCTGATTACAGACTTTACCAGTGCAATAAGCCTCCAGATCTCCTGACTGCTAGTTCCAAGTATTGATTGTGGATTAAAGTAAGATAAGTTGTTGACAGTTTCAATCTTTTCTCCATCTGTCATGATGCTGCCTATTGGTCCAGTGGTGAGAATGTTTATTTTCTTGACCTTGAAATGCTGTCCATATTGAAGGCTGTAGTCTTTGAACTTCTGCAGCGATGCTTCAGGTTCTCCTCACCAAGCAAGGTTGTGTCATCTCCATATGAAAGTTATTAATGAGTCTTCCTCTGATCCTGATGCCACATTCTGCTCCTTAGAGCCCTGATTCATGAATAATTTGCTCTGCAAACAGATTTAATAGCTATGGAGAAAGGGCGCAACCTGATTCACACCTTCCTTAATTTTTAATTGAAGGGTAGAAACTATTTTTATTCACTGTTATATCCATGAAAAAGCCTATCAGTTTGTCTTACTCAAAGTAGAGTTTTGGGAGATATTTGCTGAAATCAGTTGGAGAAGATGATCATTTGAAGTGGATGAAGCTTTGATAGGAAAAACCCAGAGAAAAAGAAAAGGGTGAAGAGAAAGTAGGATGTGTTTCTTGTGGTGTCCGTTAAGTCTTGAACTGAGGGTGTTAGAACCACTAGACAAGTCACATCTAGCCTTTTGTGGAGGGCCTTGAGTTCTACATTGAGGCGCTTGATCATTACTCTGTAGACAGCATCCTGGAAAAGGGTAGAGGAGATATAAAGCCCACATCACTCCATTTAGCAGACGTACCAGAGTCCCTGGGTAATGCAAGCAGTTAACACGCTTAGCAACTAACCAGGGTTGGAGGTTTGGGTCCACCCAGAGGTGCCTAGGAAGAAAGACTTGGCAATCTGTTTCAGAGAAAGCAATCCTTGGGAACTCTTTGGTGCGTTGTTCTGCTCTGATACACTTGGGGTCTTCATGAATCAGAAGCAGCTCGATGCTAACTGGAAATCAGCTGGCACAAGTGGGCCTTGATATTTTAAATATTCAACTTTTCAACCAACTGCAAACTGCACCTTTTAGGTTTTAACATTTCCCTGTTTCGCAGTGCTCCTTCCTTCCCTGGAATTTCGGCGCTTCAGGGTGGTGCTGCCTGATCCAGGGCCAGGGCACCAGATGCCTCTGATACAGCTGTGGGACTCACTAAGCTATGCTCTCCAGGGCCTCCTCCTGAACCTGACTCCATGGGGTGGGGCCTTGGCATCTGCAGTTCCGTCTCCTCCCTATCTCCAGGTGGTTCTTGTTCTCATTAAAATACCTGAAGCTTGGGGAAGCACAGCTCACCTCTGTGACAGGTGAGGCACCACTGAGTCTGAGACCTGCTGGATGAGCTAGCCTGCAGCACACTCAACCCCGGTGCCTGGAAGCCATGACCTTGAAGGGAACAAATCTTTATGAATGGGCAAGTTAAGGTGGAGAACTCTGCCTGATTTATTTATCGTTGCTGATATTCACATGTAAAGTAAAAAAAGTTCTTAACCTTCTATACATTTTATTAGCTTATAAATTAGTTTGTACATATAAATTGAAGGTGGGATCAGTAATCTGCTTTTGATTCACAAGAAGGCAATAATACATTTGCATCAAAGGAAGAGGAAGCAGATTGACCAGGGAGCAAAGATTACCCAGGGGATCTCACTCTGACCTGGTCACAACCCGGTGGGAGACTTTAGGAGGTTACTGGAATTAGGAACAGCATCCATTTCTTGAAGATCGAAGCACTAATCCAGTGGTTCTTAAATTTCCACATGTGTAAGACTTCCCTGTGAAGCTAATTAAAAGCATAACCTTAGCCCTGCTCTCAAAGGTTACGATTCAGCAAGGTAGCTGTGGGCCTGAAGAGTCTGCATTTTAAAAGCTCTCTGGTTTGTGCTGATGCAGACATTCAGAGGCCTCACTCAGAGAGCTAAAAACAAAAGACTTTCCGGGTGGTCAGTCAGGTTTCTCCAGCATACCAGTTCCAGGCCTCGAGCAATTGTTTGGGCAAGCAGGAATCCCTTCTCTGTTTTCTCTTCGTAAAGATTTTATCACCCAAAAGAAGCTTTCAAGAGAGTAAACGCAGACACTCCTCTACCTCCACCTTCCCTAACTTGGCTCCACTGCTGGGGTGAATTGCTGAGCCCTACTAAGCCCTACTGTCTTAATTATACAGTATTTTCTATAACACAAATATCACAAGTGGGTGATTTTAAAGAGTATGCTTTATTTTCTCACACACGTGTGCGTTAAAGTCCAAATCAAGGCACCATTTGTGCGGGTTCCTTCTCACAGGCAGTTGTTGTGGTTAGGTGCTGCGTTAGGTCTACCACGACCCTCTAAACAGATCTGAACCTTGTCCTGTCCTGTCCCATCCTCACAATCTCTGTCATGCTCAAGTCCATTGTTAGTCACTGTGTCAGTTCTCATTGTCCTCCTCTCTTTTGCCGACCTGCTTTTCCTCATCAGTAACCTTGTGTGTGCCTTGGCTTGTAGATGATTCTCACAAGGTGTCTGAGTTCCCCTCTGCTTGTGTGTGTCTGCGTTGTTTGACTCTTTTTAGAAGTCAGAAGTGATTAGGTTTAGAATCCACCCTACAATCTCGTTCACATCGTAAAACAAACCCCCTTTTTCCAAACAGAGTCACATTTGCAGCTACAGGGTTAGGATATCAGTACATATTTTGGGGCAAGGGTGTGCACCTTGATCCATACACCTGCTAAGCTGGTCTCTGCTGCTTCCCACTTGTTTTATCTGCATCTTCGGGAAGTGGTGCTCCAATTTAGGAAGGAAGAGGATGGTTGTCCAAGTGCCCACCTCTGACAGGCCTGACTACATACAGGCAGCTCAACACCTGCACCAAGGCTGAATCTGTGTGAACGGAAAAGAGCCCGCTTGCTCCCTGGTCATGTACCCACCTAGCTGAGTTGGGAACAGCTGCCATCGTACTTACGCTGTAGGCCAAGCACCCCTTACACCTGACCCTCCTGCTGTCCTGCACCCTTCCCTAGCTATATAGAAAAGCAACTCTTGGACCATCTCTTCTTACCTCTCACCAGTCCAGAGAGGAGATGTCTATGCTCAGGAACTTCCTGTCTCATTGCAGAGGGTCCTTAGGAGTTAAAACAGGTTTCTGTAAGAACCAGGCTTCTCAGTGGGCCTCTCTACTCTGAGATTTGCTGCTTCAAGTGCAAATTCCAAACACCAGACTCTCATATCTGAGTCACTTTTCAGGGGCTGGGTGTGTGTTTCTCTCATGCTCTTTGGAAGGAAATTATTGCTCCAATGGCCCTAAGGGGCCCTTGATGGTGTCTGTGTCCTTGACATCGGCATGGTATAAGAGCAGGATAGGAGAGTCGGGCCTGGATTCAGATGCCTGCTGTGTGAAGTCAAGGCAAAGTAATTCTTGGAGCCTTAATAGTCTCATCTGTAAAATGGGATGTTAGGTTGCACTTTCAGAATTAATTATTCGTGAGTAGAGATGAATGAGATTATCCCCCTTACTCTCTATCAGGCTGACTGTTGATAACAGATTTCTTCATCTTAAGAGGCAGTGTGAAAGAGAAGCCAGTGAGGAGGTGTTAGAAGATGTGGTGAGAAGTAATCAGATTTCATGCATTTGGAAGACCAAGAGGGTAGGAGTTAAAGATGTTATATGGCCTCAAGATCATTCTGCTGGGCACTGGCAGACACCCAGGTAGGTCCTGGAAGAATTGAAGACCTGGCAAATCAGCTGTGGATTAGAGCTGGCTTCGGGTCACTGGTGTGCTGGCTCCTGGACTTTACTGCAGACCCAGGGCCTAGAATAGCCTAATTTTCCCCAACCTCTTGGCCTGAAGAATTAGGGGAGTGCATTTGCTCTGGCCTGGAGGGACCACGTGCTCATGCATCTCCTGACAGGGAGTCATGGGAAAGACAGTTGCACTTGCACAGCCCTTGCCCGGAAGATGGCTTGCCCTTGACCTTGCCATTGCTTTGGTTCTGATCTCATTGGTTCTACACCTGCAGTGAATGAGCTCTGGTGATGTAGTACTTTAGGAGCCGTGTTACTAACACAAAGGTCACATTTTTGGGGTGTTTTGAATCTACCAATAGCTTTGAAGGATAAAGATGGGCAGTCTCCTCTTGTGTAATTATCAGCTTCAAAAAGCCTGCCGGAGGGCCAGCTATGAACTAGTTACTACTAGTGGCTCTGAGCTGTGAGTGAGACCCCTGCAATGGTCTTTGACTCCCTTATGCTCACTTTGTTTCAGAATCTAAGTCCATTGAGGAGTGCGAGGAGCTGGTCATCAATGCTACAGCTACAATCAACAATTTGTCTTACTACCAAGTGAAGAATTCCATAATTTACGACAAAAAGCTCTATATTACTGAATGTAAGACTCATAATTGGGCTTGGGCAAATGGATACATAAGTTTTTCCTTTAAATAAACACAGAACTGGAGAAATTACTAGTTTCTGACCATGGTTATAAATGTCTTAGAGCCCTATTTATGTCTAAGTATAAACCCCAAGATGTTTGTATATGGAAAACTGCATTTCTCATTCTCCTGCTGAAGCCCCTTACAATTTGTATTTTATGATCATTTTCAATTTAGAAGCTTACAGTATTTGGGATTATAGCGATTTTTATGGCCTTTTAATGAAAAGTTCAGCTCACTTATTTTACTTCTTTGATATCCCAACTCAGTGCTCTTAAGTCTTCTGGTAAGCAAGAACATGGATGGGATCCTGGAGGCTGTGCGTGCGCTCGGAAACCTCTCCCAGCACCGCGATGTCTGCGACTTCATTGTGCAGAAAAATGGTCAGTTTATGACACATTCATAGACACGTAGTTCTTGCCAGTAGCTTAGCTAAGTGCTTTTGAAACTTGGGCCATCACAACACGGTATTTGTTTCTGTTTGGGGACATAGTGCTCTAGATACCAAGATGAATCTAGGCGGAGCTCCAAGGGTTTGTCTTTCCCTGGTGAGTGTCCTTGTGATTTCTGAGATGGGGTGA